ACCTTTTTCCTGGTGAGTTCAAATACTTTTATTGACAAAGAGTGCTATTTTTGTTTTGTCTGACCAAAGTATATTGTTCCAAAAGAGTTTTGATTTGTCCAAATGTTTTTAAATTCTTCTTTTGCAGAGGTGTCTTTGTGGGGTGTAGGAATGGAGGTGATTGCAGTGCAGTTCAATGCTTATTGTTCTCTGTGGAACTGTTGTTCCTGCTGCTTTCAGATCAGCCTGCAACTCTTTTCAAGTGACTATTGGATTCTTTCTTACATTCCTTATCATTAGTCTGAGGATGCTCCTTCACCTTTACCATGATTCCTACTTGTGTGAAATAATCCCAACCAATGGCAACATCTTTTACATTTTTTTTTGCAGGATTTATATTTAAAGCTTGATTTATTTTATGTAACCTTTAAATAACCATATACAAACAAAAGTGCCCAAATACTTACATCCCCTTACTGTACATATACTGTATTTATTTTGCAATACCAGTAAGATGAGCTTATTTATACTATCAGAATCCCACAGTACCACAGTACACCAATTTATATTGATAAATACCATCATGCAGGTCTTTAAAACTAAAATGAAGTCCACGTTTGGACAATTGTAATTAGTAATTAATTTTGTGTGTATACAATTTTAACTTGCTATAAATCTTCTGTACTGCATCTTTGAGTGTCTTGTGAAGTTCCTGATTCATGAAACTTGTAATGAAGTGTTTCAGAGGTCTCCCAGGCGAGACAGCTCCACAGAATTAGAAGTATGTAGTATGTAGAAGATGAATAAATACTGACTGCTTTGTTCCATGAGCCTAATATGTGTATTTCCAGCTACATCTGTGCAAAAAGAAGTTGGCACTCCATTCTGTTGTTGTTCTTCTCCTTTTGGCTGCTCCTGTTTGGGGGTCGCCACAGTGGATCATTCGTCTGCATATTTGATTTGGCACAGTTTTTACGCTGGATGCCCTTCCTGACACAGCCCTCCCCAGTTTTATCTGAGCTTGGGACTGGCACTGGTAGTGCACTGTCATGTGCAACCGCTGTGGCTGGGGTTGGTACCCCAGCTGGGAATTGAACCAGGGCGGTAGTCCTCCAGGGACGCTGGGGCTCCATTCTGTAAAAGGCAAAAATCCAGACATTTATATCTAGAAAAGAGCATATTTGATATATAGATAGTATAAATTCCATTATAGATGTTTACTTAAGGTTTACATTAAAGGCCTGGACCCAGTTTTGTAAAAGAATCACAGCCTTAAAGGAAACTATAAGTATGTATTTTTGCTCCAAGTAACCTGTTGCTGTTTATGGAAATCTTATTGTGTTGTGATGTTTGTTAAATGCACTATTCCTTTATGGTTTCTTCAGAATTCACACACATGGATTCAGTAATATAACTTCCCCTTGGAACCTTATAGAAATACCCTTGCCAATAACAGTAAACTACAGTGCTTCACATTTGCTTCTCTAAAATGTATTCTGAAGGTATTCTGACTATGCTACTTTTTTAAAAACAAAATATGTCACCGAATGTTACTACTAAGGACTGTATATTCAGTATTCGTATTCATAATAATGATAGTATATGTGCATGTTAATATTACTACATATGTATCAATATAGCAAATTTGTATGTATTAACAAAGACCATGCATCTTTTCTTTGTAACTGCTTTGATTCCTGTTTTGGTGATGGGCTGCTTTCACCTTTTGCTTCCCAGAAGCCCTGACTTTTTGAAAATCAATGTTTCCCATTAGTGATATCGGCATGTTCTGGAATCCTTCATGCAGTGTTCTGTTTGTTGAGATTAGGCCATTGCTGAGAATGGCCTGTTTTTATGGCTGTTTTTTTAGCTCAGTGTTGTAAACTTGGTAGACAAAGCATAAAGTTTCCGAGGTCACTTATCAGTAATGCTTATTGGCAGTGTCGTGGGTTATCATGATTGTGGAAGAGATTAATCATGTTGGATTATGTTTCACGCCTTATGGAAAACCTATTACAGATAGTATGTGAAAAACTGGATCTTAAAACAAAATCATTGCACGTATACAGTCCCCTCTAAAAGTACTGGAACAGCAAGGTCAATTATTTTGTTTTATGCTATACACTGAAGACATTTGGGTTTGTGTTCAAAAGATGACTATTAAATGATAGATCAGAATTTCAGCTTTCATTTTTTGATATTTATGTCTAGATGTGTTAAACAATTTATACCATTTATGCCATACCATAAAATGCAAACCACTCATCAGCAGCAAGAATCAGAAGGCCAGATTGGCATTTGCAAAGACGTACAGAAATAAGCCAGAAAAATTCTGGAACCAAGATTAACTTCTACCAAAGTGTGGAGAAAAAAAGGATCTGCTCATGAACCAAAACATACAAGCTCATCAGTCAAGTATGGTGGAGGTAGTGTCATGGCTTGGGCTTGCATGGCTCCTTCTGGAAGGGACTCACTATTCTTTGTTGATGATGTAACTCATGATGGTAGCAGCAGATTGAATTCAGAAGTCTATAGAAAAATTCTGTCTGCCAATTTATAGAGGAATGTATCCAGTCTAATTAGGAGGATCTTCATCATGCAGCAAGACAATGATCTAAAACACACTGCCAACACATCAAAGGACTTCATCAGTGAAAAAAAAGTGGAAGGCTTTAGACTGGCCAAGTCAATCGCCAGACCTTAACTAGACTCCCTAAAACATACAACAACTGCAAGAAGCTGTAATACAAGCCTGGAAAGCATCACAAAAGAAGAATGCAACAGTATGGTGATGTCAGTGGCTCTCTGGCTTGATGCAGTTATTGCAAGCAAGGGATATGTAGCCAAATGTTAAGTGTTATTTACTTTAAATTAGATTGAATCCAATACTTTTGCTCACCTAAACATTTGGTGACATCAAAGGTGGCATGTTTTAAGTTGTTTAACAAATCTAGGTGCATATATCAGGAAATGAAAGCTGAAATTCTGATCTATCGTCTCATATTCATCTTCTGAGCCCAAACCCAAATGTCTTCAGTGTATAGCAAAAGCAAAAGAATTAGCCTTGCTGTTTCAACACTTTCACAGGGGACTATCATCTGTTGAACATGAACAAAAAGTGTCTAGAATATCTCAGTTGGCACATACACACACCAGCCAGTAAAATAAGAACACATGTACACATGCTTATTCATGCAATTATTCATTCAGCCAATGAATAAAATCAGATACAGGTCAAGAGTTCCAGTTCTCTGTAATCTTCACATTAACATCTGAATACATAAAAAACATGATCTCAATGACTTTAACTGTTGCTTGGCTGTTGGTGCCAGACAGGCTGGTTTAAGTATTTCAGAAACTGCTGATCTCCTGGGACTTTCACGCACAACAGTCTCTAGAGTTTACACAGAAGAAAAATATCCAGTGAGTTGTGGTTCTGTGTGTAGAAAAGGCCAGAATTGTTTTTACTTGACATGAAGGTTATGATAACTCAAATAACTACTCTTTACAACCATGGTGAGCAGAAAAGCATATCAGAATCCATAACATATAGATGGGCTACAACAGCAGAAGACCACATCATGTCTCACTCCTGTCAGCCAAGAAAAGGAATCTTAGGCTACAGTGGGCCGAGGCTCACTGAAAAAGGACAGGTAAAGATAAAAAAAAAAAACATTGCCTGTTTTTGTCCTGCAATCTTTAACTATCCATTTTGGCATATTTTAGAGTTTAAATTGTATGAAAATAAACTGAATAGAAATACTTAGGGCCATTTCATCTTTGACCTCCACTGTTCTGCACTTATTTTCAATCAGGTAAAGTAGGTTTCAGTGACAATTCAGTTTTTTAGAGCAGTTTAGCTCATTCTGAAATGTAGGCAATTTATGCTTTTTAGAATTGTAAGTAGACAGCTGCGACTGTTTTCTGCATCTCATATAATGCACACACACTGCTCAATCTGTGTAGTCTGGAGCTAATGGACACGTCCTCTCCAGGCATCTGGTCTGGCTAGCCTGGGTCCATGAAGAATAAAACCAGAATGTCTGTCAAATCCTGCAAATGGAGCCAAACTTATTAGGGCAATGAATAGGGCAAAATTAGATTAAGCTATACTGGTATTGTCATTTCTGCATGGTGAGCTGTCAAACAGCAAAATATAACCCATGTGTTGTTGCTGCTGATTTTCTGTACACCGTGCACTGTGTATTGTCGTTTTTTTGGTCAAATTCTTTTGTTTGAAGGGTTTACTTATGAATAATGTACATAGAATAATTAAGACCCATTTTACACAAAGCTCGCAAACAGAAGGTTTATTTGAAAATAGCTGTCTCAGTACATGTGCTGTCTCCAGTGAGGCTAATACAACACAGCAGTTAGTCTGCAGTGAGGTAAATTGGTGTGTAATGTCTTGTCTCATTCCTTTCCTGTTCTATCTTTAAGAAATTATATTATCATTTTTTTTTTCTATAGCACAGTATTATGTATTAGGCTTTGTTTTGAAGAACAATAAGTACAATGAGTGCTTCCATTTAATATGGCATGCTTGGAAGCAGATTCTTGCTATTTTGAAAAAGAGGCTTGCAGTGGTACATTATTTCCCCAAATTTTACCATCTCACAATTACCATTCATAAATCCATGCCCCAGAAGAGTGAAGTTTTCCAGGGGTCTGTTAAGGATTCATAAGCACTCTGGTGCTTGTCTGTTGTGGGGCATAAAATTATTTTACAAGCACCCCATCACACATACCTTCCTTGGACTTACTCCACAGACTAAACTTTGCAGAGCAAGGTCATCATGCTGGGGCCTAGACATTTTAGCTCTTGTCATTGCACATTCTTTTGATTTTCATTGTCATGTAACTCATTGTAAGGGAAATTACCTTTTTCTAATTCAAATTGCCTGCTGTATTTTGTCTGTAGAATACCAAACCACTGTCTATGCCTGTTTATGTCCCAGTAACACTACTGCATGTATATCACTAAGCTTATCTGACTATTCCTGTAGGCTTAAAACAAACAGTCCAGGGCTAGTGGTTAGGCCATGGTGCTCTCAGCGCCACAGCCTGGGTTCAATTCCTGCCCAGGGAACCAACTCCAGCAAGACAGTGCACTCCAGTGCCTGTCCCATGCCTAGGTAAAAATCGGGGAAGGTTGTGTCAAGAATGGCATCTGGCATAAAAACTGTGCCAAATCAATTATGTGGATCAATGATCCACCATGGTGACCCCTAACAGGAGCAGCCGAAGGGGAAAAAAAAACAAAACAGAGAAGGTCCAGAATATCAAACCCACATAGCCATAGAAGGTGATTTGAGAAAGAGGTAAAGAATGTAATACTTGATTTAGAGTGGTGCTCATTTGACATGCTTCAGCAAAGCATTTTAAACTGCTATATGTCTTTCATAGCTTACTTTCTAGTGCTGAATTAAAGCCAGTAAGCTTTCTTATGTAGTATTGCCCAAACGCACCACTACATAAGAAACAAAGGCCTCAAATCTGACTGGCCAGAAAGTGAGGATTAAATTTCTATAACAGCATGGCTCAAACAGTAGTTCTGGCTTCAAGGATGCCAATATATTATCGTTTCTATAGTAACAACTTAGACAGGGACTTGTAAAAGATAATGTGTAACTACTGATATAGTGAAATTTTCTGTGAGGAGACATTTATTGAGAATTTTTGGAAGGAGTCTCCAGTGTCAGAGATAAAGCTGTTCCTGACATGGCAAGGTTTTCCGTATGGAGGGCCTGTGGTTTCTTGGTAACATTACAAGCTGCATTTTTTTTTTGTCTATTATTTTTGCTTCAAAAGAAAGAAAAAAAAAGAGGCTGGTGAGGGAATGACTGCATAGCAACTATGTTGTCAGTGATTTGTTTGCTGACGTTCTATACCATGAAATAAATAAAAACTATATAAATTGATCAAATATTCTCTTTATGTTTGAAATGTAAGCAAATTTTAAAAATGTAACTATATACTGTTATGGATAAAAGAAAGAGATGTTCTTTAATAAATACAATTTGTAAGAAATGGTAAGAGGAATAAAACACTTCATGGTGTGCTGTTATTGGAAAATAATCACTTCAGGTCGGTAACAGTAACTCCACTTTTTGAGTTGGGCTGCATAACTTCATACCATCATTGGTTATTTTCCTATAACGGCATGCCCCATTGTGTTTTATTCTTTATGTATATCAGTTTGTGGCTAGGCAGATTGGAGGACGAATTTGTGAACTAGTAGTCTGTAGAGAGAGTGGGCTTGTTGGCTTCAGAGGAATTGAGAGCAATACTAGGCCTCTCCAGCAGATGCATGCTAGGAATGCCTGATCAAGGGCAGTAAACCAAACATAAAAGGTGCATATAAAGTGGTGAAGCTGAATGAAGAAGAATGGATCTAGCTCAGTGTTCAGTAAATTCTAGCTCCAGCTTAGACACTCTCTGATTTTAATTTGTTAACCTGTGTTTCAATTAATTTAGAATTACTCTTTGTGCAGATGTCAATTTTGCATCTACTGTATTTCCCGTTTTCTTGATATAAATTCCTGACAGGTCATAAATTTACCTCTTATGACCTCCTTCACAGGCAGAACATTTTAACTACTTTGCCACCTTGAACAGAGTGCAGTCCAGCAGGAAATTGAAACGGCCCATTATAGCACAGCTTTATCCAATGCCATAAGCACTTTATTATCTACACTAATACTATCCTGATGTGGATTAACTCCACTGCTGAACGGGTTTGTAGCATATGGAAGTGTCCACAGAGCTGAAGTCAGCCATGGACTGAAGATCCAGGTTTCTTTTGCACGTTGCTGCCAACACCAACAAGGCAGCAGATCATCCCAAAAGCCCTGCGTCTTCCACTGATTTGGGAATAATTAAGATCAGATTGGATCTGGAGCTCTCAACAGCGACTACTTGCATTAGTCTGAAGGATAACGTGTGCTATCCGAGCCATCCTGCAAGGGGTTTGCATAATACACAGCTTGTGGTGAGTCGTGAAAGAAGAATGGATTTTGAACATCACCCAGTTCTTACATAAGGGCTAGTGCGGGAAGCGTATGTTTTTCTATTGCTGTCAGATGAAGAGAAAATCTGTGCTATTTCACAGGACCCACATGCATCCAGGTTTCTCAAATGCATTTGTACTCACACTCAACAATTACTTAGTTGGAGGTGCCTATTCATTACCAAATGGGGAGTTGGAGTAAGTCTCTGTGCAATACATAAAGTTAATATAGGATGAATTCTTTCCAGGTGGACCGTTAATATTCACCATGACTGCTACCATCATGCTCTTCTCAGAGTAAAACCTTTTATGGAAGTGAGTGGTCCTGTCAAGGGCTCTGCATGGGAGAGTTAGAGTGTAGATGACCTGCAGGCCGGCACTGATCTCTTTATCGTATGGAGCTGGCGACAGTTAGAGAAAGAATGTAATGGCCATTCCTGTCATTCTTATAGAATAGTTGACAAAACATACTATGAAATTAGACCTGGAAACCCACAGATTTCAAATCCATTTGGACTCTATATGAGTAATTAGTGGTCTAGTAACGTATAACCATCAAGAAAAAAACATAATTAAAAAAAACAAAACAGTATGGCATGCATATAATGTGGTCTTTCTTTGAAACTTGAGGTACTTTTGACTAAAATCAATAAACATTAGTCACCAGATCTTCAGCTTTGATTTGGAGCTTAGACACTTCAGAGTCATATATTCTCATCTCGCATTTGCATCTTTTTTTTTTTTTTATTCTTAGAGCATCCCAGTCATTCCCCACATTGCTTAGGCTCAACTCAGATTAAGCTCCTTCAGCCTAGAACTTGATCGACGTGAGTTACGCCGGCCCTAATGTTTGACCTTGACCTTAGAGTTATCTTCTGGGTTTCTGAATGTATTTCAAAAAGGTCCATAAGAATGAACTTGCACCACATGCCTGAGAAGAAAATAGTGAAACACACCAGGAAATGGCTGGTCGTTATTGCCTTGTCAATGCAAAACCAAGCACCGTGTAATCCCAATCACTAAATGTGTCTGTAATAAAGCTTTAAGTCACCTCAACTACAAAACAACTTCTATTTTTATATATAGTCGTGCACAAAAGCAGCATGAACAAAGCTTACAAAGGTATAATCTAAAACAATCTTCACAAAAAAAAAAGCATTTCTGAAAGCCGAGTCCCGGATCTGTAGCTAATTTCACACAATCAATAAGAAATTAAGTGGACAGTGAAAGCTGTTTGTAATCAAAAGGGGGTGATCTCATAATCTTATATTCTGCTCAATTCAGTGTAAAAACAGAAAAAAGTGTTGGGCTTAGATGGTTTATAATGCTTTGTAGGTTGTAGATATACATTTGTAAATCAAGTTGCTGCTCATAGTCATTTTGGATCATTTAAACTGACATATGCTTATAGGGTTTTACAGAAATACACACCATATTTTGGCCATTAAGCAAGTGAATATCAACAGTTGCAATGAAATGACTTTGAAGAGGTCTTACCATTGCCATGTGACTAAGTACTAGGTACTGTAACTAAGAACCTGTGCTTTATTTAATTGCCCTTCTTGCTAGAGTACCCACAGTACTAAACAGGTTGATATTGGGCGAGTTAGAAATTGTGAAATCTGATAAATGTGATTATCACAGAATTATCAAAAATCATTGCTTATATTGATTCTACAGTTTTTTTTCTCCTTTTAAATGTCCTTGTTCTGGAAACTTTAGTAGGCAATGCTATTATTTTATCATTTAATATCTAAAGAATGTTTCAGATTGTTTTTATTTATTTACAGTAACAATGCTGATGCTTAGCTTACTTTTAAGTAAATGGATTTTAATTCACTATAGGTGCTCAACACATAGGGTATGCCCCTATGAATGGCATTTAAGACTCAGCCACAGAAATTGACTGAGCCTTTGTTCAATTTATATACAAAAGTGTATTCTCGGAATGTTAACATTGACTGATAAAGTTTAACTGAACATTTCTTTCAATCGTCAATAGTTTTAACGTACTGGCACCATGTGAAGTAGCAAGCCACAGCACTACATACATTTTGATGTAAAATAGACTCCAGGCTTTGTGTTTGTGTTTCAGTATATCTGCAAATTTTAAAGGTTGATTGAATGTTTGTGTAACGAGTACAGATAGTTGAGGATCCTGCTGTCTGATCTTGATATGATTTTGATTATGATTGAATGATTTTGATCCTCATCCTCCTGTTTCTGTAACATCAGTTTCTCCATCATTTGCCACTCACGCCATAAAGAAGGACGATTCATAAAACACTGGTGTTTACATGGACACTCGGGGCCACATATCCAAGGTCTGATCATGAAGAGGGCTTTAAGAGAGGCCGGGTCAGTATATATTCAGGCTAGATTTATGAATTGTGGTTGATGCCTTCTCTTTGACCTCCTACAGAAGACTACAGCATACCCAAGGAACTCCTCTCACACTGAGACTGAATTTGGTCTGAATACTGCATCAGTCCTCTTGGCACACTTAAACTGCTTGCCGGATGTTGTTTTGAATTGGATGTTAGTCTGAAGATATTTGAGATTGTGTAATGAAAAAAACAAATGAAAGTTTTAAAATGAGAAACTGTGTTTTAGGAGTTGTTTTGGCATTAGGAAGACTGTACAGTTACAGCTCACGTGTGACTAAAATTTCAGCAAAAATGAAGATACTGAAATTCCTCTGCCAAAATCAAGGGTTCTATAATGGCAAATGTTTTAGGTCTTCCTAAAAAGGATTGGAGTAGTATTATAGGCTTTCTTTCCTAAAAAAATCATACTATTTAGTCCAAACCTATAGCCAAGCAGTTACGAGTTAAGTACCTTGTACAACAGCCAAAAAGTTTTCACACTGAATCATATGTGGGGGTGTCAGTGTGGCTTGCTGTCAAATTCCAGAAGGATGTCCTAAACATATCATGCTGACTTCTAATGGAAATAGCTGACTGTTTATTTTATTTATTTTCTCATTTTATTTAATCTGCGAAATAGTCTAATATTGCGAATTTTTACAAATGGTAAGAAAACAACCTAGCACTGGGACTGGTATACATGTCAGACGCCTT